CAGCAGGAACCTATTCTTAGGCAATGGCTTTTAACCACTTTTGTCTTAGACAACTTTGAGAATTTGATGAAATATGCCTTCTCTCCAGAAAAAAATGCACTATATATACATTTATATATCTATATATACATACATACACTCAAACATATACACACACAGTTTTGAATACAACTTTTATCACTTTACAGACCACTTTGAGAGTCCATCAATGAACTCCTTTGGTGAGAAGAGCATATAATTCAAATCAGGAAGCCTTGTTTTAAGAGGAGGGAGTTGAAAAGCCCGAACTTGATTTAAAGATAAGCTTGTCAATTAGTGGAGAAATTAAAGCTGAAGATGTTCCTGGCCTTTCCATTCTCTCCAAGGAGTCGTGGAGAAGCCTGGGGAGAGAAAGGCATCACACCCCGCCCCCCAAGAACAGCAGCAGCTGCAGCAGCAAATAGAAGAGGCCAGTCTCAAAGATGCCACTGCATGAGTCAGTGGTGACCAAATGACCCTAAGGCTTTCCTCAGAGAAGGATGCAACATAGTGTTTGCAATGACATGGGAGATGCCCTTGTGTCCTCCCTGAATTAGATGGAGAGAGACTTGTAGGAGCTGTGGTTCCTATATTTCCAGGATAGGAAATGAACCAAGAAATAATATTTGTGATCCAAATGAACCCTGGGCTGGTATGGCCTGGGGTAGCATAAGAATTAGATGTCTTCTGCTGTGCTACAGAATGCAAACTCAGAGGCAGTTATGCATTTGTGTGTGTCTGGCAACCCCCTTGCCCCCGATCACCAGTAGATTATGGCTGGACATATGTTTTACCCATATTGGATACAAAACGCCTAGGAAAGTTTTCATTACAGAGCATGTGTTGAATAAATACCCATTGATTGAAAGAAAACAGGCCTAATGACACTATGAGGGTGAAAGCAGGAAATCAGATTCTGACTCAACAATGAATTCTGTAAAGATTAAAGCTGTAGAGAAATACAGTGTTTTGCCCCAGGAATGGCTAGACAGAAACTTTTAAACAGAAACTTGGCAGAGATGCTGAAAAAAGGACGCAAGCTTTGAATATTAGTGTTTGAAGTGTGTGTGTGTTCGCTCTATGGATCCCTTCCTTCAAATGAAATCTTACACAGAAGTCCAAAAATTTGTTTAGATAGTCAGTCTCACCGCAGTGGAGATGGGCACTGTCCCCACCCCCTACCTGCTTGCCCTGAGGCACTCAACCAGAACCTTAAAGAACAGTTTGAAAAGCCACTGGATTGGCTGACTTCCAAGGGGCCAGCTGGATTGTGAATTTGGAGCAACACTGAGTTGAGGTTACCTTGAATGAATTTATCTTTGACTTGAAACTCCTTAGACATCCAATCACAGGAGCATGAAAGGCTTTAAAATGTCACCAAGTATCTACTTCAGAAAAATATAAAATCTATAGTTGTAACAGGTGTCCCCACCCTGGCCCAGCCCACTTCCCAGCAACCTCCAGCATACCTCTTCATGGACTTGGGGGAGAGTTCCTTCTCTACCTCCTTCACAGGCATGCTGTAGGAGTCCACATTGTATTCACTGTCGTCATCATACTCGTGGTCTAGCAGTGTTCTTGCCCAGGTTCCCATATCATAAGGGGGGAGCATTCCTCCAAACTCAGAGGGCAAAATCTCAGGATGAATTAGTTGGTGTAGACTGTTCAGGTTGTTACCGTGCAAAAATATCTACAAATTCAAGAAAAGGGTGGGAGAAAACACACAGAGGAGAATAAATATCACCCAGATTTTGGGAACTGGGTGGGGGGCAGGGGGGATGGAGGATTGAGGATAGGAAAGCCAAAGCAAGAGTTTTCCATGTCTGTTAAAATATTTAAGCCCCTCATCTACTCTGTGAAACAGGAAGGCTGGTTCTGTAATCCTAATACTTCATATAAAAATCCTGAGGCTTGGGCTTCCCTCGTGGCGCAGTGCTTGAGAGTCCGCCTGCCGATGCAGGAGACGCGGGGTCGTGGGTCAGATCGTTATTGGTTTAAAGAACTGGAACAAGAAATTTAGCTTCCTGCTTCGTAGCTGGGAACATGAGCAGAATCTAATGTGCACGTTGATCTGCACATTATCCTGGTGTTAACTGTACAAAGCTGATGATGTGCATAATGAATGCTGTTACAAGACTCTTCTCATAAGGACTCAACAACTGCTGAGTGGGACTTACAGAGGTGGAAGATACTGTCTGCCCCAAGTTAAATCAGGTTAATTGCAATAATTCAAGTTATTAAACCCAAAAGCTGTCACCAGTATGGCTTTCTCTTTATCTTCGGTAAAAATAAGAATACTGTAACCACTAAATTACTGCTTTATAATACAAAGTATGTGATGTAAATAAAAGTAGATTAGCATCATCACAATGAAAGGTTGACTGAAGTTTCACATCCCAAAGGACCAATGTTCTATAATGTTGCCAGCATCTTCTCTGCTAGAGATTTCCATGGTTATCATTCAAATCAGAAATGGAATGAGTTGAAACTGTAAAGCTGTGTGCATCTGTTAATTATTCTTATCACTGTCTACATAGAGCTTTTTGTTAAACTGGAGAATTATTTAAGCTACATACTCAAGATTTGTTTCCCCATAACTTGCTACCTCTTTCCTCTTCTTTCATTTCAATCTCAAGACTTCAGATCAGTCTTCTCTGATAAAGTACTCTTGTCACCTCATATAAACATATATATTTATTTAAAGATTATAATTTATAAGTGGCTTAGAAATCTCATACCTCAGGTTCAAGATGAACAGGCTAAGAGGTTCATCTCGCTTTCCATACTTTTAGAATCCATGGAAGTTAATATACTGGAAAACAAAAACTAGTCTATATCAAATAAAATGAGAGGAATGGGAGTCACCAGTCAACAAATAATTTCAACAAATTTTGGAAGAGTATAAAAGCACCTGAGATCGGGTCACTGGCCAAAATGATCACAACAAGTGGCTGGTGGAATACATAATGTGGGGCTTACAGAGGTGGAAGATACTGTCTGCCCCAAGTTAAATCAGGTTAATTGCAAATTTTACACCTTCCCCTTCCTACTTACAGAGCACAACAGGAAAACACACACACACTCTCTCCCTCTCTCTCTCTCTCTCTCTCTCATAATTTTCCTGGGAAAATTAAGTTCTAGCACCTGAAATCCCTACTTTATTAGGTATACAACCTTTATGTCATCAGATGTACTACTTGTGTCAGAAACCTTATCTTTCAAGTCATGCAAGAGTTAAGTAATAAATCCTTAGAAAAGTAAATGTAATTCACACTACTTCTCTTTTCACTAACACTCTGTTCCCTCCTCCCTCAACATCACTTTCAGCTTTGGCCTTGTTTCCTCTTTCCC